ACTCGTTTCGTAGTATTACAAACTAATTTGTCACTAACAATCTTGAGAGGTGCTACATACACTAACATATAATTAAACAAAAATCAACAATAATTATATACATAATATGTGTAATATTATGTGATATTTGATAAAATTGACACATATATTTCTAAAACTAAAATAAAAATCATTGTTAAGGATACTGCTTCATAAGCAACGACACTAACTAGAATAACAAAAAGTAAATATTTCTTTGGCAGCATTCAATATAATAGAATCATTGCTTTATCATTAATACATTTTTTTAATAATTGACCTTTGGATGGTTAAAAATGAATCACACATTAGGGGGAGTATATATGATACAAGATTTACATTGCGTCCTATTTCTGATGTACGATGTCCGATATTCAATAAAAATGTATGTTTTATATAAAACAATCTTTCTTATTGGATATCGAATATGGGCATTTGCCAAACCAGCCAAACTTTAAAGTGAGATTTTCCTTCCTCACGCAAACACGCAAACAACCTCTTGGGTTTGGTGGAATGTTTGAGTCCTACCAAACTAATGTGTTAGCATCGGTGACGTCACAACCACTAACAAAAATGACTGCAGTCGCTTCTGGTTGATCGTGGTTGGATAACGAAAATACGCCTATGACTATCATGCAAAATTTTAGTTGGTAGCTACCAACTTGTGAGCTTATTTCTTTAATATTTCCAGATTTATAAACTTAAAATTTGTAACAGTTTATTACAATACCACGAAAAGTAAACAAAAGTTTTAGTGAACTTGATTTTACTCTTGTAAAAAAAGATAATAAATATTATGCTCGCTGTGCATATTGCAGTCATGAGTTAAGCAACACCTCTTTTTACCGTTTAAAAGCACACAGGTAAATTAATATTAAAGTTACTATGATATTTATACATTATTTAATATTTATGTATTAGTTTTATATAATTGAAATAGGTTATATAATGTAAATTTGATTAAAATAAAACTCAAATCTAACTTACGATCTAACCTATATTCTACTTTTTAGTATTAAAAACTTTACTTTTGTAGGTCAGTCTGTAATAATACAGCTATCACAAACCAAAATTTGACTCAAATAGACGTTCATCTAGAAGAAATAATGGTAAAAGAATATATTTTTCCTTCATTATATTTCTTGATATTAAGTTATTTTTAAGAAAATATGTGTAAGTATTAAGCGAAAAGCATAAACTCCTGCATAAGAATATGAAACAAATATACTCCTTTATTTCCTTCCATTCATACAATGGAAATTAAAGGTTCTGATTAATTTTTTAAATTTATTTACGTTATGCAGAAGTCTTTAATCCTCGTTTTATTTAACTACTTGCATATAACCAATAAATAATATATTTTGTTCAGGTTGTTGACATTACAAATCAAATCGATGAAGGTGATAAGGAAAACTCTTTAAATGATATGAATCTTGTAAAAGAAGATAATCTGGTTTCAACGACATATCCAGTAACAAATAAACCTACATCATCATCAACTCCACTTCCTTTAAAACGAAGAAAGAAGAAAGAATCATTGGATAGCTTTGTGGACAATATTTCAGATGAGGAATTAAATAAAATTCACACTAAACTATGTAGCTTTTTCTTTGGGTGCAATATTCCCTTTAATGTTATAGAGTCTGATCACTTTAAAAATTTTATTAAAATTCTTAGACCAACTTATGCATTATGCTTACCAGGACGTAAAGCTTTGTCAACAACTTTATTAGAGAAAGAATATGTATTAAAATGTCAAAAAATATGATTGGTCCTGAATCGGTGTTATTAATATGTAGATAGTTGGAAAAATACTTCTAACAATACAAAAACTGTTGTGACTATGTTACACAATGCCAAAGAATCTGCTGCATTTCTTAATGCTTGGGATATTACTGGAGAAAGTGGAACTAGTGATAAGTTAACTAATATTGTAAATGAATCCGTCCAAATAGCAAAGGATTTATATTCCACAACAATATATGCATTAGTGTCAGATAATGCTTCAGCGATGGTCAAAATGAGCAAAACTGTAGCCATTTGGCATAGTAATTGTAATAGCCATACTGCAAATTTATTTGCAAAAGATGTTATGAATGAAGATCTAACCAAATGTGTTAAAGACATTTTAAAAGAATTTAAACATCCACTTTTTGAAAAAGCTTTAGTTGATGTAGGAGATCCAAGAATAGTAACTCCTTGTGATACTCGTTGGTGCACATATCGAGATTCATATGTATGTTTGTTGAAAAATCTTCATTATATGAAAAGACTAATAGTTGATGATAATCGATTTCAATCCATGAAAATAGCTGTCAAAACATTGATATTTGATGATGAATTTATAGATTCAGTAAAAGATAATATTGAACTTTTTGATACAATATGTAAATTGATAAATGTTGCACAAAAATATGAATCTTCGCTTGCAGAAGTAGCACATCTTTGGTTAACTTTTCATTTTCCACAGAAATTCTGGGACTTTCAACCTGTATTAGAACGTCGAAAAGAAATGGCACTTAATATTTATGCACTTGTTGCATATTATTTGCATCCTAAATATCATGAAGATGTAAACGAAACGCTGACATCTGAACAATTGAAGAAGATACACATTTTTTTATTAGATATTCTCGATGAAAACGGAATAGTTGATCTTCAAACATTTCATGAAAGAACAGGAATTTTTCAAACTTTATTTGAAAAACATATTCAAGATCCAATAATATTTTGGGATATGGTAAAAGTGCATCATCCAAATTTAGCTTCTTTAGCGTTAAGATTGCAAAGAATACCTGCATCATCGACACAAATTGAAAGAATATTTTTAAATTGGTCTTTTGTGCATTCATCCATTCGCAATCGTTTAGATTTTGAACGATCTAAAAAACTATTACATATATATTACACACATAAAATTCTTGATTCAAATATTTCTAATGATTATTAGTATCTCTTACTTTTACACAAACATATAAACATTATGTAAACGTTTGTAAAACGTATAAATGTTCATTTAAGCTTACGCAGGTCACAAAACGTAAAACGTTTCTTCCCAGACAATACACAATATTTTAAAAACATTTCAAATATTTTAAGAATATCTTTAAATAATTTTAAAATATTGTGTGCTGTCTGGGGTAAACGTTTATATAACTTTAGTATTTTGATAAGGTATTTATTAAATACATAAATTGGTAAATCTCTTTTTGTTGTCTTTGGTTATGTGCGTATCTCAGAGATTTATTAGAAATCATATAATTATTTGAAATTTTAATTTATATTTTATTTAAATTTATGTTGATTTAATCTGTACGTATATTTTGTAAAACTAAAGATTTATATATATATATATATATATATATATATATATATATATATATAATAAATAGTTTATTTTAAACATACCATATCTGTATATGTAAAATATAAAATATTAAAAATGTGAGAATAAGTTTTTATATTTTTCTTAATTTAATCCTAAGAACATCATAAGATGTTAATTAATTAGTAAATTTATTAATATTTTCCATAAAAAAGTTAACTACTTATAATTTAACTTCGTAGTTACATTTTCTAATTATTATAATAAAATATATATTTGATGCAATTTATATAATTTATTATCTTTTTAAACACTATATTTATGATTAACACTCACATTAGGGAGGATCTACAACTTTGCTTTAAAAACAAATTGACCAACCACAGTCGATTATTCCAAGAATAATTATTTACGGTTTACGGTTTAAAGCAAGATTATGAATTCTCCTTTAAATATATGTGAGTGTGGTAACTGTTTTATAATTTAATTCCTTTATATTGTACTAATTAACAATAAAATTTACAATAGTCTACATAGTTTACATTGTCTACATTGTCTACAAGGCCATGTAAACATTAAGTAGACTACGTGTAAACAATCCATGTAGACGTAATCTTGAAATCTACGGCACAACCCTGGTTAAAAGTATCATAGAGTATACATAATATTTTTACGATATCATGATCGAAATTATCTTAAGAATATAGGATTATTACGATTGATTTACGAGATGATTGTCCAAATGTGGACGTTCAGGTATTGTAAAAAAAATTTATTTACATTTCAAATAAGTATATTTTTTAAATATTTCATTGTTATATTTCCTCTTTAATGGATAATAAAATTCAGCATAGTTTTTGAATTCTTTAATTTTAACATAGTTCGGCAAACATCTTTTGCACATTCCAACTATTTCTATATCTGTTGACTTGCTGATGACTTGTTCAAAATAAATGCTATCGAATATAAACATTTTCGAAACCATATTACTTGTTACTCGATTCAACTATTTTAACGTGAAAAATTATTGGTAAAGTGCCGGTCATAATTCTCCCTGAAGATACGCACGATTTTGAATTACGCAACGGCACCGCAAAGTTGAAGACATGAAGCGTAATTCAGAAGTACATGAAAGTAAAGAGATGCAAATAGAAATTTTACTTATCTAGAGACCGTATTCGCCTTGGGATGTACGCCGGAAAAGAACTTGTAGAGGTGACCCTTTGGTTGTCTACGACGGTAGTTTGAGATTGCGTTTGTTATTAAGGTGACGTGCTTCACTGTTCACTCGGAATTTAGTTGATTTTTAGAACGTCGAACCATTACTTTCGTAATAGGTTATTCAAATGAAAGATCTGTTTTGGTTTTTAGTAAGTACTTCAATGTATTAAAACGGTCGATTGTGCCACAGAAGTAGGATTGGAAGAAAAGAATCCTTCACACTTAGGATTATTTTAATAATCTATCTCTACGTACTTACTATGATTAGAATCGACAACATTACGATATAATTGAGCGTTTAATCGTTGTAGCTGCTTTCTTCTTTCTGCGTAACGCGTTTTAAACATTCGTTCTCGCTTTGTTCGTCGCAAATTTAACGGTTGTCAATTAATGTTAATTTCTCATGATTTTTAAAGATCAGACGTGCGCTACTGCGCATTAACGTCTACATTAGGAATTATCAGAAAGCACGCGGTTACTTCACAACTTATATAAAAGTTAGATGTATGATATAGAGATAAAATTATAGTTATATTATTAAAATTATAGTTACATTAATGTGTGTGTATGTGTGAGAGAGAGAAAGAGAGAGAGAGAAAGAGTACAATCAAATAAGGTAAATAGGTAACAGACGAAAACACGTGGAAAATTTTCAATCAAGTAACCAATAAAATGTGCGTATACTCTAAAATTAATATTTAAGTGCAATGCAATAGAAATTGATTTTTCTTACAAAATCTTAATCTTATAAGAAGCTTGTTTAATGTTAAAATTCGACTAGAAAATGGAAGCGACTTAGAACACAGAGATTGACTTAGGAACTGGAAATCTACTTATTCTAGAAGATTTTTAGTCTGGAGAGCACGATCGACCGACGACTACTAATCCTCAACTGACGCTCGGGCCCGAATTGCTCTCTGAAAACGCTTCCTCGCGCATGCGTATTCTAACGCAGTTTCAATGAAGTATCACACTTGAAAGAAAAAAAGTATCACACTGGGTACTTTATTCAGATTTTTTTAATTATGTAAATTTGTTTGGAATATGACTAATATTAATAACAGATTAATAATATTAATCTATTTTTAACAAAATTACATATTTGTAAATATAATTTACAATAATGTTTTAGTAAACACCGAGTATCAGTTATACATTTATGTTATAATTTCTCACTCAACAATGTAAATGCAATATGACACATGTGTTGTCATTATTAGATGAGAAATTATAATATAAATATAATGTAAGTAATACTTAATGTTTACTAATATAAATATATATGATATATATATATATATATATATATATATATATATATGATATATTATACATTAAAACAAATATTAACAACATATTTAAAACAAATTCACATGATTAAAAAATCTGTATAAAGTACCCAGTATGATATCATCTTTTTTTCAAATATGACACTTCACTGAAATTTCTTTACTATAGGTATGTGTAAGAAAACATCTACAGTCAGGTTACTACCTAACCTTTATGGATGCTCCCTTCTCTATAGATCTGTCCTTTTCAGCTGCACTGCTGAACTGGTACGATAAGTTAAAGTGAGACAAGTATATTTTTTCTCACTCTAATTTATTGCATCAGTTCAGCAGTGCAGCTGAAAAGAACAGACCTATAGAGAAGGAAGCATGTATAGACTATATGTTTCTTTTCTACGAAGAGATTTCCCTCGTCACGGTATAGGCGAGATGTAAATAGTTAAGGGCTTCTGCACAATAACGTCTGTAACATATTAGCGTTGATATTAAGTGTTAGCCGTTAATTTAAGAATAAACTTAAACGCAATAACCACGCAATAGTGTCGTCAGATAAATTAAAATTCTAGTTCAAACCAATAAAACTTAATTAAAGTAAACTTTATAATTAAATTTCTTTTTATTTTTGTATTTTTATATAAATATGCAAATATTCTTTTTGTATTTCTTTTGATATACATAACGAAGAAGATAGTTTACTGTATTAATGTAATCGGAAAAACTTTCGTTAGGCTTTTAAGAGCAAATACAAAATTCAGGTTGACCGAGCTGTAAGAAATACAAAATTAGATGAGAGAGTTAGGCGTAGAGCAACGAGGAGAATAAATGGTAATAAGATCCAAGATAACACTAACTTTAATGTAAACATAGGAAACAAAGCTAAAGAGATAAACACAGGTTTTGTCTTAATGTATATGATATATATAATACATTATTAAATATACGAATATATCAAGTATATATTGAAGTCATAAATTGAGGAAAAATTAAATATTAGGATTTAAAACAATTGATCGGTTTCTTAGTCAAAGTTCTGGATAGAGTCAACAAAAAATTTTCGAAAGGGATTTAAGCTAAACTAAAACAAAGTTAAGGAATCCAGAATTGTAATAATAAGAAATCAATTATATTATCTGACGATTTATGAGATGATAATTCTCGTACCATCATACGTCTTTTTTACAGGTGTTCTTCCAGTTTGAAATATAAATGTTATAAATCAGTTTAAATTTAAATAATATCATACGACATAAATTTCGTTTCTATAATATAGATTCATGTCTCACTCAATTAATATTCACCTTCGCAAATATTTCTGACAAGATAATATGACGATTAAATATTAATTAACGTTATCGATTTGAAGTGATAACGCTTTCGCGATCAATGACTATTTCGTCGTTTGGACTTCGTCGCGTAATCAATAAGGAGGTTAAACAAGGACGAACGTTTCCGATGGCTTTATGGCAATTATTTATAATATCAAAAGACAGTCGGGCTTTCTTCTGCAAGCACGCGCTATTGAATGAGCTCCGCAGATAATTTTTCATTGTACGCTTAAATATGCGCTTTCAGCGATGTGCAAAGCATTTCATTCTCGTATCAATTAATGTCCACGCAGCAATGAAGTAATGTCGTTTTTTATTAGTCACATGAGATTATCGCAGATTTCATAATCATATACCAATGTTAAATACACGGATTACATTAAAAATGACATAATTAATCTTCCGTTAAGCGCAATCGATCTAACAATCACGATAGAAATTTTAAGTTTTAAGCAAGTGTACTAGTTTTTATATCAAAGAACTAATTAATTTCAAGAAAGATCATCTTACTATAAAGAAATTATATTTTGTATATTGTTTTTTTTATAATTTTACAAGCCTAAAAGAAAACACTTTTAGATACCTTTATAAAGTAGTTACTATTAATCATGCCTGTCAGGAGCATCATGGCCACGGGAGATTAATAAATGATCCGTACAATCAACACCCTCCGCTGGATTTTATTTGAAAAAAATACACAACTATTTTGATATCTCGATTTGATATACGAACACATACGTACGACATCAAAATAATTGTTTTATATATTAATGCAATTGAGTTATATTATGCCGCACCGTACGTGCTGTAGACATAAATAAACGTGCATCAACACGCGATTACACATGTTAACGCGCAAAGGCTTTAACATGCCTTCAACACGTACAATATGATAATAAGGTTATTAAAACCATGAGGAGTCCCGCATCACGTATTAAATAGTGCGACGAGCACCTGAGTGATCGAAACTGACAACGAAATAATAAACAACTATATGAAAGATGCATCTACGTCAAGCCGCGCTGAATCTAATGATAGCAGCAATTATGTGCAAAATCTCGTGGGCCAGCATGCAGTGCAAAACAATTGTAATGGATATACACATGAAAAAGTGTAGGCTCGGTGCTAGAGCCAAAAGGGATGTTGAAAGACTCGATCTGTTAAAACATGATGAGAAGCTGAAGAGAAAGGAAGGTCCCGGTAAGAAAATTACAATAATAATTTTAAAACTTTCTATTTTATATATATATATATAAAATACCAATAAAATTATTACATACGCGCGCGCGTATGCCCGCGCACAAATACGAAGTTGCAGGTGCTTGCGAAATGTTAATCATATTGGGGGGAGTAAATCCAGAAATAGTGAACGTAAAACCCATATCGCACTACGGATTGGAAATGGAAGATTTTGTGTGTGTGTGTGTGTGTGTGTGTGTATATGTTGTATATATACATATATATAGGATGTTTTTCTGAAAACTGTTCGAACTCTCTGTACCTTGGGAATGGCTAAAAATATGAAAAAAAGCCGAAACATATATTTGTTTATTTTGAGAGGCTAACTTTTTAAAAAAAGTTAATGAAAAATTTTTCCATTAATTTCTCAAGAAGAGCAAAGGGCAACTAAAAACTTTAGATGACAAGACAGGTCTAGTGATATCTCGTTTAAAAGATTTTTTTAAGGAAAAATTTTAGTGCAAATTCTGATCCATAATCAAGATTTGCGCACAAATGCGCGCGTTTCTACACATATTTATCTGAAATTTACAATAAATTTCACATCTAATAATTTTTGTTCAAAACTACTATAATTTGATGCTCTTGTATCAAACATTATAGTAGTTTTGAACAAAAATTGTTAGATTTTAACCATTTATTATATTCAACGAATTGTTCAGCAATTTTAAATAAATAAACATAAATTACCAAATTATCAAATTACCAAATTACCAATTACCAAATTACCAATAATTAGCCTCGAATAATTAATAATTATAATCATTACAGGAGATAAAGAAAAATAGAGAAGAAAAACACTTAGTGGACAAAATACGAATGAAATCTTGTCGAAACGATTTGTTCGAATAGCAGCGTGCCGATTACATTTTTATTCTAGCACTCGCTTTATGAATGTACTTTCCGTTTTCTTTCAGACTACTTTTCGAAAATGAACAATGACCCAATGTATTTTCACGGTGTCCCGCAAAAAAGGCAGTTGACATATTCGCCACAAGTTGACGATATTGCTGTGCCGATCGTGATGGATGCTTTGAACCGTGCCGCGCAAGCTTACTTCTCATTTAATGCAGGATATTACAATCGCGCTTTGAGTTCGACAGGACACTCCCTTGGTTGGTCGGATTATCCTTCTATCACAACACGTCCGCTGGTTGCGTCCTCTCTCTACACGGTAAGCCGATCGCCCCTGGAATCTGTCCTCAATTTCGACAAACAGCATTTTCTCGATCGATCAAAATCAGTGTTACAATTCATCACATTCGCTCAAGATGGCCAATAAAAACAATTCTTAACTCATTCCCGACCGCCGTTTCTGTAAGCTTCCTGAGAAGAGAAGACAAGAGGCGTTTTTTGGATAATAAAAACTGTAACAATGAATTAACAACGGTGAATGTGATAGAAATGTGTGTATCTAAATCCCGTGTCACACTACGGATTGGAAATAGAGGATTGCGGATTGAAGATTGGAACTTGACCAATTGGACGGAGCCAAGCAGGCTAAGACTAAAGTACATTGATTCATCGAAATCTAATCTTCAATCCGCAATCTTCCATTTCCAATCCGTAGTGTGACATGGGTTTTACGTTCACTATTTCTGGATTCACTCCCCCTAGTATGATTAACATTTCGCAAGCACCTGCAACTTTGTATATGTGCGTGGGCATACGCGCGCACGTATGTAATAATTTTATTGGTTTTAACAAAGGTTACACACAGCCATATATTACATAATAGTCGTTACTAAGAAAATAATCGCACAATGTCGATAATTATTTTTTATATCGGTAATTTCCTTAACCTGATTATTTTTTATCGATTATTTTATCGATCTTGCAATCCTTCCCTCTCCGTTTTTCGATGCGTTCGCAGTAGATTTTCTTCCCCCTCCCCGCTCGCGGCAGTTCACGAATGTCTAGAACGTTCCAGAATGGTCGAGGCTTTTTAGAAAGAATAAATTCTTCAGTTAGTCGAGTTTATCGACGTATCTTCCGAAACAGTGCAATCTGAAAAATTTGTTTATTTTCGACAAACACTATCGATATATGATTAGCTGTCGTTCGAAATTTTCGTATACCTACGTAGATATTTCTTTTTTTCAAAGATTAAAAAGGAATAAAAGAGATACACATACTTTTTTTGTTTAGTAAAGTAATATATTCCTTAGAATGTTACTTCACTCATTCATATCTATAATATAAATACGTTATATTCGGATATATTATAGGCCTGGTTTGCACTTGATACGCGTACTAAATAGTAACTTTCTATTAGATAATCTTAATATCGATAATGCATATCAACGGCGACGCATTCAATCAATACAATATGTTTTGTCGATGAGTATTATACCAGCTTAATATACCGTTGTTTATATATATCTTCGATATTAAGATTATCTAATAGAAAGTTACTATTTAGTACGCGTATCAAGTGCACGATGTAAACCAAACCATAGATACGTAATAATCGCACAAAACAATATTAATCATATATACGTATACGTGATTTATCGTTTAGTGATAAAATACATATAATAAAAATTATAATCATCACGTTTTCTTTATCACATATTTTATCACACAAACGTGTGATATTTTATCATATAAATATAAGGTTTTTAAAGGTACGCGCATTTATATATATTTATGTTCGTATAATTTAAATACAAAACAATATATATATAGATGAATTTAGAATAAAATAAACTTATTTTTTCTAAAACTTTTCTAAAAATTTTTTAAATTTTTTCTAAATTTCTTTTCTTTTCTAAATTTCTTTTCTAAATTTTTTCTAAACTTATATATATATATATATATATATATATATATATATATATCGATAAAAAATATATAAATAATTAACTGGAAGAAAGGAATCGATAAAAAACTCAAATATGATTAATTGGCCGTAAAGAAGAAAACGAGGCAAGTCTCAATCGAAACTAACTTTCAATAAGATAATTATTTATTCAAATGTGAATAATTAATTGACCGAAAGGATGACCAAATCCGAACGAGATTTATTTTAAGTGTAAGAATTATATATTAATATATAAATAATTAATCAAAAAGAGGAGAATTATGTGAGACTAATCTTGAATGTAAAAATTATATTAAAGTGTAAATAATTGATTAACTGGTTAGAGGGAAATAATAAATTACAAACCATACAGCTCCTTGAAACGTAAAATCTACGACAAATCAGAAGAGCACTATGTTCAACAGGCTTTTAGCGACGACTTCGATCTCGATTTGAATTCTGAAGAATTGGAGGAGCTATACGATAATATCTACAAAAGAGTACCGAGAGCTTCGAAAGATGAAGCTTGGAGGATTTTTCTGGAAACAGCATCCAAGTGCTGCCAAAATGTCGACAAGTGCTTGAAGGAAACTGTGCACATACCCTGTCTAGTACTCTAGGTATTTATTAGTCTTAATTCTCTGAAATTAATCTTTTAAAAGTTTTTACCAGATACACACACACATTTATACATGCATATATATATTTTTTTATTGTTATTAAAATAGCTGGAAGAACTTATTTGAATCATTTGGAGAAAGTCAGGCTACAGAAGATATAAGGAGCTGAGAATTTGTCCAGTCGACAAGATTGCAAGCAACAATAACACGACCATTGAACTATAACCACATTGGAAAATTCACTTCTTTATTCTCGAGCGGTCAGAAAGAGATAGTTGAGTGGGGACGGTGCACCTTTGTCTAACCAACTCAAGGTACCACGTGACTTAATGTATTACCCACTCTGAAAACATTAACCTCCACACATATTTCCCACTTGGGCTGCGTTCGAAAACGTCACTCGAGTACTCTCACTCTCTTTTTATCTCTTGTATTTCGCTCATTCTACCGGCTATCATCTAGTAGTGTGCACACAGTGTGTTTCCGAACGCAACCTTGACGTTACTTCAACGGCATGTATTTATGACGGTTGCTTTAGATAACGCGCACTAGCAACGACAACAGTTTTATCTTATCAAGTAGTACCGGTCAGTTTGTTGCTCACATTTCGGAATTGATATTTTTAGTCACGGTAGTTTACACTTGACACTGAAATATATAGTACCTGTGCTGGGATTCTGTAATTCGTTATTGGAATTAACGACAGTTTCGTTATCGTTGCGCAGCTTTTCTACAGTATACAAAAGCTGCGCAACGATAACAAAACTGTCGTTAACTCCAATAACGAGTTACAGAATCCTAGCACTGGGATTTTCCCCTATTCTCTAAATTTTTGCGTATACGTAAGTTTTACTGTGCAGGTTTAATCATATCATAAAATAGCTGCGCTAAGTAAAACTTACGTATACGCAAAAATTTAGGGGCCCTGGAACGCGCGCTACCTCTTGAGTATTGCGGGATGAGAGAGAGAGTATGCTTGTAGGTCTTGAACAACGCTCTGTCTTTGTCTAGTACAGACTGAACCAAAAGCTAAGTCGGCTGATTTCTAAACATAAGTTGAATCTCCGAATTAGGAACCATCTTTGCTTTGTTTTTCTTAATAAGTCGATAAGTGAATACTAATAAATGAGAAAAAAATATATCTCTATATTTTTTTTTATATCCTAAAACTTTCATTCATAAGCTTAAGCCATTCAGTGGTCACTGCTTTTCATATTATTTCTAACTTTTAACTTGGATTGTATCACATTCTTCCCACTCTCGACTATACTATGAACTAAACGAAGATAAGACAGGAAACAAGGAACCTCTCTCTCATCCCGTATATCTCAAGAGGCAGCGCGCGTTCCAGGTAGTATATATTTCAGTGCTTGAAAGACGGCAACCACGTCCCAATTCGACTATCTCTCTCTGACCGTGGAAGGAGTAGGCAGTCAGGGGAGCGTCCCGATTGACCACGGTACGATTGGACACAACCAACCGATGAAAAGAATTATCTAGTGAATTACTAGATCGAACCAATCATTACAAACTGTGTCCAATCGTATCGTAGTCAATCGGGTCCCACCCGGCAGTCAGCCTTCAGCTGGTGGCACATTGAAAAACTTAAGCAGTAAGACGTAAGCAGTAAGCAAATTGACCAATCACAGTCATTGATTCTTCTTACGGTCCAAGAATCAACGACTGTGATTGGTCAATTTTCTTACTTCTTACGTCTTATGGCTCCTGCACACAGGACGCAGTAATGCTTGCCGCGCGGCAGAAGTCCGCGCGACAGCCAATCAATATGTTGTTTTTCCGTAAGAGCTAGAAGGTTATTACGAAAACAGCATATTGATTGGCTGTCGCGCGAACTTCCGCCGCGCGGCAAGCATTACCGTGTCCTGTGTGCAGGAGCCATAAAGCTGTGTTCCTTTTGGGTGCTCACGCGCTTTAATTACTTATAAGCATCACTCTATTAGCGTGTTCGACTGGCCCTGAGCTGCTATTCCGTTACTGTGGTTCCGATAGTTGTTGGATCAATAGGTGTCGTTGCGCAGTTTTTTCACGGTATAAAAAGCTGCGCCTACCGATTCGACAACTGTCGGTATGCGGGAACGGAATAGTACCCCTGGGTTAATCGCTCCGAGAGCGATTAATGACGTCATAAGTCTCTACTAGCCAATCATAAAGTTTATAAGTACTTGTTCGACCAATAAACGTAGACTGAATAATCCAGAGTGGATTAACCTAGAGCCAGTCGAACATGCTATATCTTTTTCCCGCATCTAATGAGCGATAAAGATAGAATGACGCTTACAGTGCGTGAGCGCCCAAAAGGAACGCAGCCTAATGGCTCCTGCACACGGGAAAAGATAATGCTTGCCGCGCTGCGCAAGTTCGCGCGACAGCCAATCAATATGCTGCTTTCCGTAATAACCTTCTAGCTCTTACGAAAAAACAAAATATTGATTGGCTGTCGCGCGGACTTCCGCTGCGCGGCAAGCATTACCGCGTCCTGTGTGCAGGAACCATAATTCTATATCTAGATTCACGTCTGTCCAGTCGGCAAGTAAATTGCAAATAATAGTAACACGGCCGAAAACACCGTCTCGAGACGTCATCTAACAAAGTGTGCCTTTACTACGTTCGTTAAGCACATTTTCGCGGTGATAACAATAAAATGCGCCTGATTCGTGCCCGTTGTACTTCCGTACATTGATAGTAAGTTAGAAAAGGACAGACGTCCAATCGCTCTGTTCTTGTCTCACCACTGATGAGCGAACCGCGCGAGTAGGCACGAAGCGAGCTAGCGGCGAACTTATCGCAAAGCTAGATTATCTCTCGTCTTTCTCGCGCCGTGTTCTGCATAATTTTGTAAGGAGAAAGCACTTGGAAACTGGATAATATAAAACAATAAATAAATATAAAAGTTTAAACATGCTGCTTATATTTTTTGCTTATTTCTCGGCAACCACAAAAATTATCGATGTGATTCAAAGAAAACTATTTTTTTCAAAATTTATCCTGTTGGAATTCAGAATTTACAATAATACTAATAATAATAATATTATAATAATACTATTGAAGCCTTCAACGGCATTGACGCCATATGGCGCGGAATATATTCGTGCCCCAGTGCCCTGGTGAAAATAAGAAGTTTCATAAACATTTGTTTAGCGTAACATTCATTACGTAAACGTTTGCGGGAGTTCGTTGAGAGTTTAGAACTATCAGTAGAGAGTTTTAGAGCGGAAATTGTAACACTACAGCATTTACGGCGTTGTACGGCGTTTTCTAAACATTTGAAAAGACTGAGCAAACTCTCTGAACGAAGGTGTATCAATGTTTATTGAGCGTACTTTGAAAAGCGTTGCTTCAGCATTGCAGAACTTCCACGAAATGATATATACAGCATTTGATAAGCGTTCAAAATCTAACGGCGTTAAGTAAGCGTTCATACAAAGTTTGAAAGCGTATAAACACTTAAGAACTCTAAAGAAACTCTTATCAAACGATTTATAAAGCGTTTTATTTTTGTCATGGTGGGTATTGACGCCATATGGCGCACATCATTTATTTCCCGATTTTCATAAAACTTAGTACCCTATGGTTTTGGGAGTCGCTAAATACGAATTAGCCGTCAAAATTCCAAAATTCAAAATAGCGGATCCAATATGGCGGATGAAAATTTAAAGATAATCCGATTGTACTAAAATTAGGTATTAAGAGGTTTTTGGGGTCGCTGAATACGCTGAATACGCTGAATATTTTGACGAATTTGACGTCAAAATTCCTGACGTCATTTCGAAAATACACCTTTTCAAGCGCAAATGTTACTTTCAAAAACTCTAAAAAATTATTCCAGAATGTGTCTTACATGCTAACGCTACAGGATTTTCGCACAGAGAATTCTATCATTATTGAGGGAACGAGATAGTTTTTGACTGAAAATAGCATGTTGATAGTTTATTCAAAATTATTATTTTTAAAAAGGAGGAACTGTTTAGGTAAAAATCAGAAAATAAAAATAGGGCAACATAAGAATTTAAAGTAAGAAAGTTATAGGATTTAACTTTCCTCTTATAGAAAAGTTACGGATTTCAAGACTTAACCATGACCTAACCTGCACTAACATGATCGACTTTCGGCCCGTGCGCAGGATAAAATCACTGCGCATGCGCGAGAATTCAAATATATTACGATGGATCTAACGTTATATGCGACTTTGGTATATTGTGGAATTATTTTGAAGATTCTGGACGTGCTGCTGAGGGAGTGAAGTGTCACAAACACACATTGTCACCCAGGAGACGATGCAAAGCAAAATACGCACAATTGATGTCTTTTCAGAAATTGAACTTTCGCACCCGCGAAAATTACTATAAAGGACTTGAAGAATTACCCTAGATTGTGCGCTATATACTAATACTGTATGACTTAACATGCAGTAACATGACCGACTTTCGGCCAATGCGCGATAATCCAACATTTTTACGACACTAAGTTGTATCTAATAACTTATAACCTACCATACATAGCCTACATTCGGCCTATGCGCAGAATAAGTACCACTGTGCATGCGCGAGAATCCGTATCTGCTACTATGACAAATCTAGCGTTATTAGGGTGATTTTGGGATGTTGAAAAAATATTTTCAACGTACTGGGTGTCCTACAGAGTCACACAAACACACGTTGTCACCCCGGAAACGATATAGAAAGAAATAAGCATATCTGACGTAATTTTCGAAAATAGACCTTTTCAAAGGCGAATGATTCTTTAGAAAACCCTAAAAAACTATCCCAAATAGTGCTCTCTACGCTAACGCGAAATAACTTATAACCTACCATAACATAGCCTACTTTCGGTCTATGCACAGAATAAGTACCACTGTGCATGCGCGAGAATCCGTATGTGCTAGTATGACAAATCTAACGTTATGGGGTGATTTGAATGCGACTTTGGGCTATTGGAAAATTATTCTCAATATTCTAGACTCAATGTTACTGAGGGAGTAGAGTGACATTAACGCATATTGTCGTTCAAGAAACGATGCAGAGTAAAATATGTACTTTTCATATCATTTTCGAAAATACACTTTTACAAACGCGAAAATTTCTTTAAGCAACTTTAAAAAATGATCCCAACTAACCCTTAAACCAAATTATCCCTTAACTAACTTAATAAATTAGCGAAAACTGAAAATACTTCGGTGCGAATCTCGGCTTAATAATTTAGCGGGAACACAAAACACGTTGGTTCGAATTTCGGCTTAATAATTTAGCAGAAATACAAAACATTTCGGTTGAATCTCAGCTTAGTAATTTAGCGGAACCTCAAAACGCTTAGGTGCGAATCACGGCTTAATAATTTAGCGAGAAATGGAAACATTTCGGTTCGAGTCTCGGCTTAATAATTTAATTTGTCTTTAATTTATCGAAATTTAATTTGTCGTCTTGTCAACATCAAACGCGTATGCATAAGAAAATATCTCCGAAAAGATATTATGTTGTACATAATACAACATAACAAGTTATAAAGTATATTAAGTGGTATGCATGGAGCATACATACGGTATATATAAAACATATAAAGAGAATAAAAAAGCATACATAACATATACAGAGTATATAAATATGACATGTTAAAATATATCAGTTTAATGTATCATCAAGAAATAATCCGACGAAAAAAAAGTCTGCCGAGTCGAAATTTCAATTGGCTTTTGTTATGCAAGAATGATCCAATTCAAAAAATTATAAGCTTTTATTAATGCATACTCAATTCACTTTTTA